TCAAGTCCCCGCGGATACCCTTAGCGCCCCTCCGCTTACGGAGGCTATCCGTCAGAGAAACATGTCGACAACAACAGGGTGCGTGGTACTCGTATAACGCAGTAAGCCAGGATCTACATCTGCTAACACTCCGCTTTCCAGAGCGTTCATCGCAGGAGGCGTCGCAGCATGTGGAGCTGTCACAGTGACCCATAGTTTTGAAACAGTCAAGATCCGGTATGCGCCTTGTTTTCTGATCCTGACGTGCGAGATCATATCGGGACAGACACTGATGTTGTTCGGCTGGCAGACTACAACTACAGGGAGAACTACAAGCAAAATCCGAAGCGGTCAAGAAATACAAGGGTGTTTTCCACGGTGTCAAGGTCATCTTACAGAATGAGGGCCCCCGTGGGCTGTTCCGAGGCATCGGTTCCGCTGTACGTGTTACGCTTGAGTTTGGAAAGACGAGAGAAACGGCAAGCTGACTGTCGATTTAGTACATCTATCAAGTGCTACTCAATGGCTGCCGTCTAGGATTCTACGAGCCCCTGCGCAAAACTCTCACAACATCGATCTATCAAGATGCCCAAGTCCAGTCATTGGGTATCAATGTCTTTGCCGGTGCTGCCTCAGGTATCATCGGTGCTGCTGCAGGTTCTCCGTTTTTCCTTGTCAAAACTCGTCTGCAATCTTTCTCGCCGTTCCTTCCCGTTGGTACGCAACACAACTACCGCAACTCGTTCGATGGACTACGGAAGATCTACACTTCCGAGGGAGTAGGCGGGCTATACCGTGGTGTTAATGCAGCCATGGTCCGGACAGGTTTTGGTAGCTCTGTCCAGCTGCCCACCTACTTCTTTGCTAAGCGTCGCCTGGTCAAGCATCTGGGAATGGAAGATGGCCCCGCTCTTCATCTTGCCAGTAGTACGGCCTCTGGGTTTGTCGTATGCTGCGTCATGCATCCTCCCGGTACGTAGTGATCTCCTAACAACAATGTTATCCTGCTGACGTGTTTATCCAGACACTATCATGTCGAGAATGTATAACCAGACCGGTAATCTTTACAAGGGCGCATTGGACTGTTTATTCCAGACCGTCCGTAAAGAGGGTTTGCTTGCTATTTACAAGGGCTATTTCGCTCATTTGGCCCGTATTTTGCCTCACACTGTAAGTGACAATCAACACTGGGCTAGCTGGCCAGGTTCAGTCCGCTGACTCGATATAGATCTTGACCCTCAGCTTGGCCGAGCAGACCAACAAGCTCATGCGCAGAGTTGAGGATCGATTTCTTTCTGACTCGATGAAAGAAGCACTGTGATGGGTCTACAGATTCCTACGACATATTTGTAAGGGCACATAATAAGGTGGTAGTTGTTTAGTCTTTTTTAGCACCTGGGGTGATTAGACCTCATTCAGCGAGCGTTGACTCACTAGGATATGTATATAGAAGGCGTTGACTCAGGTCCCACAAGTCATATTACCTTTTAGATTCTGTATATAGGAGCCAAAAACGTTTAGATGGGTATCGGAATTGTTTCACGCTAACTTATGTACCACGATAATCTTCTTTGCATTCGAATGGTGGTGTCGAAGATGCCTAGAACACCTGGTTGGAAGGTATGTTGGCAGGTATGCAGCTTGACGGCACGCGATGTCAGTTAACGCGCGTGGGTCTGATGAGCTAGCGGTCTACTGTCACGTTGGTTTTGCGAAATGATGACTTCTTAAAACGAAAAGGCAAGATGTTGGACATAATATTATATCGCGATTATACAAGAAGCTAAAGTATAGAACATACGCTCCATAAACTGGCTTTATTTTGTATAATACACAAGTTGGAGAGAACATGGGGAGGCCACAGTCGCGTTACCGCGTCTGGATCAGCCTAGAGTTAACGTCATTGAAGATTACTAAAGTACACCCAAGCATGACAAAAAAAATAGTCCCACTCCTACGGAGTAGAATTCCTTAATCCGGAAATAGTAGATGTAAGGAATTCCATACTATCAAGATTGTAAAGCCGTAAACCCGCGCCGCATGCCGAACTAGGCGGAAGCTGCGGCCTGGGAGTGCCAATGCAGATGCTGATCGAAACTGTCCACTCGCGTCGCGTGCCAGCTCTTCCAAGCCTTAGGCATTCTGTACCTGCAGATCTCCATTCGCTCGAGCAATCCCAATGGTCGATTAAGCGACTTTCAGGAAGAGATCTGAGCTGCGGACTTTGCTCAATGTAGTATAGTGTGAGATGGGTTGTGGATTAATTGAATGTGTTATGACGCTCACTAGCTGACGCGAGACAACAGTTCAAGAGGGTGTGTAGTACAAAGAAGTAGCATTGGGAATGACTGTAACTTATGATGTTCTTTTACAACCCTTGCTAAAGGCAAATTGATGCAATTTTGTATGGGGCACTTAGTGATAACTAAGTAGTGCGACTAGCTGAAGTAGATCGACTTGGAGATTTGATCGCATCAGATAAGATAAAAAACCCTGACGAGTGAACAACGACATGACCACATTCGGCGTTCTAGATGGCAACCATTTTCAGGTATGTGGAGATGTAACCCTAAAAGGTTTAAACAGTGGAGATTTAAATCACCGGAGGGGAGAAAAAGCCAGTGGTCTGACCCAAATGGATGGGTAGGCAAGGCACGAAAGACGCAATGAAGCGTGTAGACGCGTCGTCCATAACACTGGATACCCGCCAGCCATCGGCTCAGAGGCGCGCCAAGTCACGTGCGACGTGACTTAGCCCGTCGCGCTAAGGATCACGCCCTCGTCCGAAGCAAGTATTTCTGTCGGCGTGCCCTCCTCTTCTGCAGCTCTTTTTTCCTCATCCCAATTCCTCAACCAAAATTATTGGAGCGTTTCTGAGTCTGTGTCTTTAATCTTTCTCATATATTCAATTGAAGACATCTAGACAATACTACATAATGTCCGCGCAGGTCACTCCCTCCAAGCAGGTACGTGATGTCACGTCTCGCCCCCCAGGGTTGACGCGTCTGCAGGATAGTATGAGCTAACCACACCCGTTGGACAGGCTGCATCCTCCTTCGAGAACCTCAAGATGAGTGACTCGCCTGTCAAGAAGCTCAATTTCGAAGCCGCAGGCAAGGAGAACGCTCCTTCGTCTCTCCAGGTCACCGACGTGCCCGCCAGCAAGACCATTGTTGAAAAGCCTACCGAACTCTCCTCCAAGATTGCTAGCATCAAGGAAATGGAAGCGAACGAGCCCCTTCTCCAAGAGAACCCTCATCGTTTTGTTCTGTTCCCCATCAAGTATCATGAGGTGAGTAACGCACGTCTACTACGCGTCACGCGTAAAGTGGATTTTTTTCGTTAGCCCTGATCGCCCGCGACCAACGCCATATACTAATATTTGTCTTGGATACCAGATCTGGCAAATGTACAAGAAGGCTGAGGCCTCCTTCTGGACTGCCGAAGAGATTGATCTTTCTAAGGATCTCCACGATTGGCACAACCGCCTGAACGATGACGAGCGCTACTTCATCTCTCGCGTCCTTGCCTTCTTTGCTGCCTCCGATGGCATTGTCAACGAAAACCTGCTCGAGCGTTTCAGCGGAGAGGTGCAGATCCCTGAAGCTCGTTGCTTCTACGGTTTCCAGATTATGATCGAGAACATCCACTCGGAGACATACTCTCTTTTGATTGATACCTATATCAAGGAGCCCAAGCAGCGTACCTACCTCTTTGACGCCATCGATACCAGTATGTTGATCCTGGTTAACACAGTTTCTGTACTTTTACTGACCCTAAGTAGTTCCTTGCATTCGCAAGAAGGCCGATTGGGCTATCCGCTGGATCCAGGATCAGGAGTCGACCTTCGGCCAGCGTCTTGTAGCCTTTGCCGCTGTTGAGGGTATCTTCTTCTCTGGATCCTTCGCCTCTATCTTCTGGCTGAAGAAGCGTGGCTTGATGCCCGGTCTTACCTTCTCCAACGAGCTTATCTCTCGTGATGAGGGCCTCCACACTGACTTTGCTTGTCTCCTCTTCTCGCACCTGAACAACCGCCCCGACCCCCAGGTTGTGGAGGACGTTATCGTGGAAGCTGTCGCCATTGAGAAGGAGTTCTTGACTGATGCTCTCCCTTGCGCTCTTCTTGGTATGAACTCCAACCTGATGTGCCAGTACATTGAGTTCGTCGCCGACCGTCTCCTGGTCGCCCTTGGTAACAAGAAGTACTTCAACGCCACCAACCCCTTTGACTTCATGGACAACATCTCCCTCGCCGGTAAGACCAACTTCTTCGAGAAGCGTGTTGGTGACTACCAGAAGGCTGGTGTGATGGCCAGCACCAAGAAGGAGGCCAAGCAAGATGAAAGCTCCGCCAGCGGTGGCGGCCTCAACTTCGATGAGGACTTCTAAACCAACTTCACGAATATACCCGGCAGAGTGCCCGCTGGCGCCTGCCATTAGATACGAGCTAATTTTTCCTTTGTCGTTTTCTGTTCCTGGGATCCGCGTTATTGATTTATGAGACTATTTGAGGTATAAGCATGGGTTTGGCGTTGGATTGGCGGGGCTCTTTTCTCAAATGTATTGTCAGTGTCTTATCCGGCATTCGGCCCTTTTCTATGGGATGGATGGGCGGTAGACTGTATTTAAATAAATAGGATATCACTGTACATTCAATTGGATATTTCAAATAACTAAAAAGTCACTGTTTCTTGCAAATGTTCTTGGTCTGAATATGATAATTCCTCTGAATCGAAGGCACGTAACAAGTTGTAAACTGTCTATGTACAACACATACATCATTAGAGTATGAAGTCACTCGAGTAGCCGTCTGTCGGAGATCAAGGGATCTGCCTCCCTCTCCCATCCCGCTGACTAGTGGGACCCCAGGATCCGCCGACCATGCACTATCAGATACTGCCAGAAGCCCGGCATACATCAAGTATGACTCCGCCAGCCTGACGCACTGCAACTCAAAAAGGACCGATATATCAGGCCCTATGATACCAATAGGAAAGCCCCGGCGGCAGCCAGCCCAAAAAGTTCCATCAGTAGCCCGACATTCAATGTCTCTCAACCCTCCCAAAAAAAAAAAACTGGACCAATAAGAGCAGAATCACCTCTTCCCTTTTCCACCCTTCTTCTTTCCCTTCCCGCCCTTATTCCCCTCTGTCTTCGCCGCAGGCGCAGAACCCGTGCCCTCTTCCGGCGCATCAGTCATCTCCACATCACCACCAGCCTGCGCTACCGGCGCAGCAGCCGCATTCCCCAATCCCAGCGCAGCCACATCTGCACCGCCCGCTAGCTTTCCCAGAGATGTAATCAACCGCCCTACCTCGGCGGCTTTGTTCGTGCGGTATTTCAGGCAGATTCCGGAGGTTGGGTTGAAGGTCTTTAGTGTGAGGGATGCGATTGGGGGCGTTGGTGTTGTTGATTCGTCGGTTGGTTTGGGCTTTTGAGAGGAGGGGAAGTTATATTTTGTGGTTATGCGGGTCTGTGGTTTGGTTTCATTTTTGTTAGTTGGGTGGTGGTATGCTAGGTTTGGGGTGGTTTTGGAGCGAGAAAAGTTCTTGGAGTGGGGGTTTCTTGGCTCCTGGGACTGTGGGCTTGGGAATTGGATGTGTGAGTGAGGCGTACGTCGTTTGGGTATGCTTCGAGGAGGAGCGCTGATTGTTCCAGGTAGGCCTGGGAGGTGGGAAGGTATGGCATGTTTTTGTGGTTGTGGTGTTGGTCTGGGGTCGCAGTGGTTTTCTGAATACTATTTAAGGATATATCGATTGAGGGTATTTTGGTGTAATAGAGGAGGCTTTGAAGGTTTTTTATGTGTTTGTTGGGTGGTGAGGTATAATGGTGAATGGAGGTGTGATTAACGGTGGAGTGCGGACAGTTTGCTTGCAATTGTCAGTAGTCGGGTCTTGGCGGAGAGCAGCGGATTTATTATCTACTTCGCGTGTCAGGTACTATTTCCCGCCTGTTTTAATCCTCGATACTTGGCAAAGTCTGCCTTTTGTACATACATTTAATCATTTGTCTCATATCCTAAATACATCCTATCATCTAGTACATATATACCAGACCTCCATCGCGTTCCCGTAAATGCATTATTATGAACACCCGCCAATGCAATATTTGCCAAAATGGGATATACTCGAAGAGCCAAAAGAAAGGAAAACATCAGATCATAAATATCACAAAAAGAGATCAATCAATAGCGTTGGAGCATCGCGCGCAGATCAATTTCTGCTTCCCATTTCGTCCTTTCGTGGCTCGGAAATTCGTTCCCTCACAGTTGTCACACCGGAGCACATCTTCACTCTCATCTCCCTCCCCGTTTGACGATGCGTAATCACTACTCAGGACACTACCGACACTCGGCTGACGCCGCGCGGGTACAGAAAGTCGATTGGGATCGAGAAGACGAGGGGACTCTCGATTCCGCACGGCTAATGCGTCTCCCGCGATCCTTTTGTAGAAAGCATAGCTGTGGTCGCCTTGTAGCCACAGAGGGTTGTCCTCATCTGGTTGCTTGTCAGCAGCCAATAAGGATGCTGCCTGGAGTGCATTCGGGGCATTAGCTGCACCACTGCGTCCTGGCACCTCTGTGGTCGATGCGGCGCTATCCAACGAAGTCTTGTACTCTGTAGAGGTTTTGTACGCGGAAGGCGGAGGGGAAATAGTATACCCAGAGCGCGATCCACGTCGTTTGGGGCTCGAGTACTGCGACCGATCGGCGAGTCTCTGAGGGGATGGGCTCCGAGTACGTGTCCCTGGGTGATGACCATCTTTTCGCTCCGTGTGGCCGATCACCGAGTTGCGCCAGGAGATGATGCGCTCAGAGGGGGTCTTATGGGATGATTCCTTTCCAATAGATGATGCAATACTGTGCCGCGCGGAGTTTGTGCGCCGTAGCAGTCTGCGAGAAATCGTCGAATGCGTATCCCAGCTTTCAAAGCGCCGTTTGTGGTAGGCGCAATCTTGTCGCAGGATCTTGATCTTTCCGGAGTAGTCGGCTACTATGAGAATATTCCCACCCGGATGGGTCGAGCGAGCAAGGTACGCTGGCGATTCCTGAGCCTGTTTGCTAGCTACCGAGTTGCGACGAGTTCCGTTCCCTTTCGAGCTACCTAGGGTCACGGGCGGCGGGTTGCAGAAATCGTAAATCGGATCTTCCGAAAATCCTAGTGTCTGTTTCGTTTTCGAGGGAGCCATGATAGCCACCGTCACCATGGCCGACTGTGGTTCCACAACTTCTACGGCACGCTTGTCCGAGTCCTTCTCAATAGGAGCTGTCGGCCATAGATAAGCCCGGCGATCCTCACTTCCACAGATGACATGTTTTCCATCATCGCTGAAGGAAGCGCGGATCTGGCTGCATGTATTTTCATTGCCGCGGAATTTTGCCTCCAGGGTCCGGTCTCTGAAGTTGTACATTCGAATCCGAGAATCGTTGCTGGTGATTAGTAGCTTCACCTCGCCCTGAGGGTCACCCTTAGGGAAGACAGCAGTATCAATTCCTGTAATTTTGCTGCCTTTAGCATTGCGTCCACGTGCTGAGCGGACATGGAACTGCGTGATTGGTTTAAGGCCGTCGGTTTCATAGATATTGCACATTCCGTTTAGGCAACCAGCAATCGAATGCCGACCATCCGGAGTGAAAGCAACCGATGTTATCATATCGGGAACCGTCACCATAAATGCCACACTCTTATCCGGGATACTCCAAAGCCGAAGTTTCGTGTCAAGTGAGCCTGCAAGGAAAAACCGGTCATCCCGGGGATGGAATTGAATCGAGGTAACGAAGTCGCTATGTTTGAATATACACAGACACTCAGGTCGGCTCACATGCCACAGCCGGACCGTCTTGTCCATGGAAGAAGAAAGGAGAAAGTTATTCTGTTGTGATGTTAGATTTGCGACGGATGACTCGGTCTGACATTTGTTAATGACAGACATACCTTGCTCCAACTTAGATCAAGCACGCTGCCTATGTGACCCTCGTACACCTGGACTGGCTTCGCCTTGAACACCGGTGCTTTTAACTGAGGAGGTTCATCACTATGCTGACTCCCATCTTCGTCTAAATCGGGTTCATGGCGGTCCTCCGGTGAAGTAATAACTGCCCAAACCCGGACCTTACCATCTTGGCCGGCAGCCGCCAGATATTTGCCGTCATTGGAGAACACTAGAGCCCACACTGCTTTCCCTGTGTTTTTACTGCTTCTTGCCCCCGCTACTGAAGACGACCCATCTTTTTCGGATGAATTTGACACATCATCTGCACCTTCAAGCTCCTGCGCCACGAAGACTCGACTGAAGGTTTTCTCTTTCTTATAATGTGCCCTGACCCGGATGTACTTTGGAGGACGGGGAACTCGTGGAAAGAAGCCTATCGGTTGCGTAGTGTCCATACGAGCAGTATCCGGTTCAGAGACATCGTCGTCGTCGTCGAGAATTTGATCCTTTTTTTTACCGCCAATGATCCGGCTGAGAAACGATACGCCTTTTCTACTCATTCAAAGTGGTTCGATTAGCCTTCGAAAGGAAATGCACAAAAGCAAACGTGCGTTATCTTGCAGTGCGGGGTATATCAAGAAAAGTGAAAGAGTAGCTAGAGAAACATGACAGATCCCTGCTGAACATAGGCACGGCACTCACTTGGACGGCTTGCGGTGTAGCGCGGCATCTCCTCGGATTGGGTCTTGTTCAGGTAGCCTGTCAGTTCCGCCAGCTTCCGCCTCGTATGACGCCCTGCCGAGGAGCTTTAAAGGGATCGACTTCTCGGTATTGGTGCGTTTAATAATATGCTGCATGATGCAGGTTTGATCAGCAACTGGTGCACCCACAACACACACGAGCGATCTAGTGACTTGCTATTCGTACCTGCGACAACGGATCTATTGCGCTGGAGTCGGCGTTGACCTCGACAAGGGTCGGAGAAGAGAGCGAACTCCTAGTGACTCCGATAGAGGCATTACTTTGGCCCTGACCTGACCGAGAATTCTTTCGAGTATCCAGCGGGTTGCCACTGAGGGATGACCCTACATCCGACGGAGCCGATCCTATATAGAGAGCGCATAAGCATGGGTGACAGAAATGCGGGCATAATGCGCCTTTGTCGTTTGTTTGACGTCGCCGCAGGTCATTGACATGTGAAAGGAACCAAGGGGTGAAAGTTCGGACGGTATCATGATTCGAAACTTGTCAGGTATAAAGCCATCGAGACAACTGGACATACCGATAGGAAACGACTGAGACGTCCGCAGCAGCCCCGGCTTTGCCTCATTGGGACTACCGCTATCCTTATTGATTGTCAGGTTGCTGCCATTCCTCTTCAGAGTCGAAGAAGAGCCGGTTGCAAGGTTAGTGACGATCGCGGGGATAGGCAAGGCGCGCGATGCCGAAGCTCGGCTGTCAGTCTCCTTGGGCGCTCGCAAAGCCTCCGTCATGGTTAGGGCGGCGCCCCAGAATGCGCATGTGGGATCGGAAAAGTTTGGCGGGAATACCACCGTATGGTGGGAAAAGGGAAAAGAAAAAGAAATTACTTGGAGTTTGCGAGAGATTATGGAGACCGAGAGGAAACACGGCAATATCCGGATGAAGCGGAGATTAGAATGACATCAAGGGTCCTGGGATTGACCCTTAGATAATTTTTCCCTAGTATTTTGAGTTGGTTTCGCATGACATTTTCTTAGTCGCAAACAGTTTTAGTTCGGGGGCGAGAAAAGTCGCATTCTGGAACGACCCATTGAAAAGCGACGGCGCGGGACGGTTGGTAAGATGGAACGCAGGAGAACTTAAGAAGTCTCTGCTCCCTTCTCAAAGTACTAGTACCAAGAAAGTGAGGTAAAGATAGCAATACATCGGCAAGGTTTCTGCGCAAGTCTGCTCCTGTCATGCAAGTCAAGCATTTTAAAGATCAGGGCGTGGGGTTCGGTTTTGGTAGCTAAAAATACTTGGATTACTTCGATGGTGTCATAGGTGGTTCCACGCCCCATTCCGTAATTATTATTGCCAAGGAATTAAGTGAGATTCAGTGACTGGCCCTGTTATCTCCGCATTCATTCAATTGATAATATCACTTTCTAGAAGACATGACACGTTATGCGATCTCTGTTCTGATTATACAGCGGCCAAGCAGAGTTGAATTGGTCTCCACATCGGTTGCCATAGCTACAACGCTTGAGCACCACTCACGCGATCGTGACTGGATGTCTGCGTTGAGCGATAAGGTGGCCCTTAGACTGGAATTCCTTTGACCACGAGCTATCCTAATTTGACGACGCTTAATTGCGGCGATATACCCTGATTAATCCGCCTATAGTATGTTCTTCAGGGATCTATATCCGCGACACCTGTTCCAACTTTCGCGCCCGATCTTTAGCTATATCACACATTGCCTAAGTCCGTAGATTAGCACTCTCAATCGGTCACGCGAGCACGATACAACTTACCTGGATAGTTTCTTCTATCTCCCTCTCGGCATCACCTCTGTCAATTCTTTGTCGCATCTCCACCATGATAACGTCTCGGGTCCGTCCATTGACAAAAGTTCTAGAACCGGGAAGAACAAACGTCGAATTAGTCTTCATCATTGACAGGATAGGACTGAGACACGAACACAAATCTTAATCCAGGGAATTTCTCCTCGTATTCAGCGTTTAGCAGTCGCAATCGTTCCGCTAGCTCCTCTGCGCCTGTGTTTAACTGCGCTTGTTCCTTCTTGCTCAATTCACTTAGATGCTCGGATTGCGCCACCTTCGGTCGTCCCAGACGGGGATGCGATCCCAAAATTCCGACCAGAACGGCTTTATCAGTCGGCGAATTCGCCGCAGATAGAGCGGACATGCGGCCTCCGACGGCATCAATCAGACTAGCATATGAGGAGAATGTCTGATTGGCCAGAACAGGAGCCATCAGCGCATGAAGCTCCGGCGATGGCTCAAAGAGCGTGTCGAGCACCTGGAACTGTTGTTCCTGTGGGAGCGAGATGAGCGATGACGGCGAGGGGAGATTGGGAGACATGGCGATCTATGCGCGGAAATATTCCAGTGTAGTAGTTTCTGTGCAAACACAATGCTGAAATTACAGTTGGAGGTAGCGCTTCTGTTAAAAATTGGTTGGGTTTCGATATATAGTGAGGTCGATGGTCCCCGCATCGGCAGTCTCCGAGCAAGGCGGAGATCTCCAGCGCGGAAAGCATGGTACAGAGTAGGGCGAGTATGTGGGGAATTGAAGATTGAAAGGTTTATTCCACTTTTTTTTTATGCAATATTCTTAGTATTAGAATTTGGGCATCGTTGTTGTTTGTGCGACTAGTTAAAAGCTTAAGGCAAGCCCACCAACTAGTGGAAAAGTGAAGAATCTATGGCGGCATTATCTGTCTTCTAGAAGCAGTCGATGAGATACTATTTTGGGGGTTAAGGTTTGTATTTCTTGACAAAGGATTGGCCTGATCGGATTGATTAGATTCTTTACCTTTATCCATTTATCACCAGGACAAACTAATCATTACAGAGTTCAGAGGTCCTAGATAACACAATACGAAGCCCTCTAGTATTCCCAACGGGGGAATATTTCATAATCTCAGCTACCCTGGCATTTAGGTCCGAATGAGCCTCACCTGTACATCCATACAACAATACAATTCATCAAAAGTCAAAGGTCTACTACTGATGCGTCCCACGATGTCGGCTACCATTTTGACGTTATGAAGAGATACGAATAAAAAATATTGTGCAACGGAAGATACTGATTACATCCATATTTTACAAGTGCAAGGTATGTACATACAGGACATGAATAAAAGGAGGTCGCAATTGAGGTGATCCCCCTTACTGAGTTATAGTACTGTCTTTGGCGTGCCCCGATTGGGATTCAATAATTGACTTCCTAGGGCGTTGACTCCTATTCGGGGGAAGCGCAACTTGACTAAAAATATTGGATACTGATTGGGCAGTTTAAGGGCGAGCGAGAAGTGCGGAGTAGGTAGACAATAGATATATGGTAACTTACCCGTGTACTCCGTACGTTCGTGGTACCAAATCTGTATGTGTTCCATAGGGGCAAAGGACCCGAATCCTCTGTTAGTAGCTGCGATCATCCCTCATTCATCTTCGATCGAATTCAAGGCCGATTGTAGTATGCTCGGTTCTGGTGCTCTCAGCGGATTCTTGATACCATTATTGATGAGACCAACGCTGCAATACTTTGGAGTACACAGTACATCGATTATGGTTCACGTTTCATAGAACCAGCTGAGTTTGTACCTGAACCAAGCGAGGAGGTTCATTCAACAATACATTCGTTGGTTACCATCGGGGGCCAAGAAAACGTGGAGACGAGAAGTGGAGGTTATCGGACCATCCACTAAGAATAGCCCCTGAACTCCTGAGAGGTTCGTGAAATACACACCACCGTCTCAACTTGCCTCCGTTCAATGATCCTGATATCTAATTTCCCGTACTAGTTGTCCAGCCTGGGGGTGATCTCGGCTCGCAGGAGGCTGTCCTTCTGCTACTTTTCCAGATCATACCTACCTTCTGGCTAGAACGCTCTCTTCTTCTTGTGTTTTACAATCTTCAGTCGTCCCTCTTTACATTTGTCCCCTCCCCCTCTTTCCTTTCAGACACCAGACTCACTCGCTACACTTCGTGGTTCACACCGTGGTACCTCTTTTTATTTCTATTTTTATCTCTATCATTCTTCTTCTCCGATAAAGTCTCGCCTCCCATGCAGTTCTCGTCATGTCTCTCAATGGGCTAGATAATCCCGCTGTCATAGAAGCCTATCAAACCGCTTTAAGCGAAGCGGGAGGATGGTAAGTCAAGTCCAGTTTCCGCTACTCCCGGCGCAATTGATGTTTCACGGATACGTGCATTGAAAATTCCCAGTATGATTAAGGCAACGGCTGATCATCCCTTCCCGCATCTAGGTTTCTTCTCCAATATGTGTCAAGGGATGAAGTGGCTCTACTCGATCGGGGGACTGGCGGGGTGCCCGACGTACGGAATGCGATCGACGGTTATGAAGAAAAGTCTCCGCTTTATGGATTCCTACAATATCGTCGCAGGAAGGTAGTGCTGAGCTATCTGCCGGAGGGTATCTCTCGGCTCGTACAAGGTATATATCCTTATTACCCATCGTCCCAATCTCCACTCTTACTGACGAGGTCTTGCACCCACCCTCAGCCCGTACAACCGTGCAGTTTCAGTCGATTCTCGATAAATTCTCTCCACATGATACAGTATTCTCTCTTTCGCAGCCATTGGAGCTCACTGAGAGCGCACTATCTTCCGCATGTCTACTACATACCGCTTCAGGTTCTATCACCTCCTCGAATTCCCTCCGCCGTCGCAGGCTGATGGAAATCGCGGAAGATGCAGAGGAAACCCCCGGAAGCAAAGACGCTTCGCCACCCTCAGTCTCGACCAAGGACTTTCGGCAAAGATCCTTCAGCCAACTATCAGACGCAACCATCATCGCCTCGCCGGTTGCATCCGATGCACACTCTATTCGCCATGGCACCGAGACATCATCGTCGACGAAAACCCCGGATGATACCCAAGCCAACGATCGTCCTCCTTCGATTGCCGGCGATCACCACTCCGAGCGTCCGGCTTCGCGAAAAACCTCGCGGGACGAGCTGTCATACTCCGAGCCCCGAAGGTCTAGTCAATCTGCTAGGCCATCTTTAAAAGATTTGGAACGCACAGGTGTGTACAAACCAAAGGTTAAGCGTGGTCCTCGGCCTTCGGTAGATGAAAGTGGACGGCCACGCACTGCAGGGAACCTGTCACGCAGCGCAGAACAGCGACCGGTCGCGTCCTTGCCAGCTGGCATGCGGTCGTCTTCTCTGCGGAGGAGCAATCCTAGTCCCGCTCGTCCCCGATCCCAGGGAAGCACTGTAGCATCTATGTCTGGACGAACGGTCCCTCCCGTGCCTCCTTTACTCGTACCTCCCCTGTCAATGCCTATTTCTAGACCCCAGCTGTCGCCTGGCGCCAAGTCATTAAGCGCATTATCATCCTCCGGAACATCCCAGGAAAGGGAACGGTTAATGAAAGCACTTCAGCTACGGAAAACACAGATGGAGAAAAAGGCAAAAGAAGGGAAGAAAATTCATCGAGATGTTGAAGAGAGAAAAGAATCACAATTCGACCCGATCGAGGACAAGGAGAACATTAGTCATGCCCATGACAACATGAAGCGTGTTCAAGCGGACGAGAATAAGGCTATTGTTCAAGAGCATAGCAAGGGTCCCCTGTCGGAGACTCAGCCTTCCGTTGTTCCAGAACCAGTCGAGGTACACGATGAGCACAAGAAAGCCGTTTCGGAGACCGTAATCTCGGAATCAACCCCTGACATGTCGATCACTGATCTACGAGTCATTTCTGAAACAAGTGCGGAAAATAAGGACGATGATAAAGAGCTTTCAAATACGGACCACTGTCAAGCTGCAGAGTCGGCTTCTGTTCTTGAAGATGACGTTGCTGAAGAGGATTTGACTAAGTCAATTGACGAAGAGACTAAAAGTGGTCCCGGCTCGCCTAGCGCGACCAAAGAAGTCCCACTTGAGGAGAGGTCCCTCAACATTCCAGACGAAGAAATTGCCGTGCGTTCTCCACCAGCCGAGAATCCTCTTGCTCCTGTTGAACAGGAGACCGACGCCATTGGAGAACCTGCCGAGTCTGCCCTGCCTCAGTCCATCCCCGTACTTTCGACCCCTGATTCTCGCACAAGTCACCCTTCCGATTCCCCGACAACCCACGATCCTCACGTTACTGAGACACAGAATGACCTGACCCCTGAAGTATTGGTCACGGAGCAAAAGGACATCGATACCCGGAAGGAGAAGCGTAGACCTCACCTTGAACCCATTCAAGTGCCAACACCGGATTATTCGGATGACGATAATCTTTCCGATGATTCATTCATGGAAGAATTAAAGAGCGCCACACTAGAGGAAGCCAAGCCCATTTCAGTTGGGAGCTCACCGCTATCCCCGGGCTATTCTAATAATGGAAACGACCGAAGCCCCCCTGATGCATGGAAAAATTCACGAGCGGTTTCCAACCCAAGTGCTATTGGACGCCAACTACCCAACATACAAGCACTAGCTGTGGGAAGGTCTGTGTCGACATCTTACAATGAAGTTGACAGCTCTGTCCTGGTGGCGAAGAAAATCAATGTGTCTTCGGGCATCTCAAAGCGCATCGCAGCCTTGGAGAAATTTTCGAGCCGGAGCGATGCGCAACCAAACACCAATCAAACCTTAGCAGCACCTTCGTCGGCTTCCTTCGAGGCTCTCAGGAAGAGAGCCTCCGTCTCATTGAATGGTAATTCAGACTCAGCGCTAGGATCTAGGCATGGATCGTTCACTCCTGAAAGTTTTTCTCGAGCTTCCAGCGTGAGGCGCCCCGACTCACAATCTAGTGCAACCGTCAAACGTACAAATTCAGTGTCGGTCACAGCTCGGATAATTCGTGATTCAAATACTACACCAGGGGATTCCAAGGCCGATCCTTCGGAGAACAGCGTGCTTGATCTCCACGCTAGTCCACTGATAGTTGAACATAACACCCGCGACTCTCCTTCGCCCGATCCATCGCCAGAACCTATGGCTAGCGAGTCGAAAGAGCGCAGCATGTCTACATCTTCGGTTGGCTCGAGTACCCAGCCTCCTGCGCCGTCAATGCCACGCTCAGATAGTCGGATGTCTATCTCTTCTGTCTCCAAGAATGAAGACGCTTCAAAACCTGTCGTGGATGCCCCTTTGTCTCCCGAAGGAAAGAAAGAGTCTCGTGCATCTCGACTTCTTCGTCGTATGTCATCTATCACCTCAACTTCGCGGAAGAGTCCATTTAGCTCACTAGGCCCGGTGGTTAAAGAAGAAAGCACGCCGCTTGATACAGGAGTCGAAATCCCGCAGGCAGTCGATATCGGAGAGGTCAATGTTCAGTTCCCCGATACGCTGCTCTGGAAGCGACGATTTGTTCGCGTTGATGATAAGGGGTACTTGGTTCTGACTCCTGGAAATATCGATTCAAGTAACCGTAACATGGTCAAACGATATCATCTAAGTGAATTTAGGACGCCCGCTTTGCCGGATGAGGATCGACAGGAGCTTCCCAACAGTATTTTGCTGGATTTCCTCGACGGCAGCACACTTCAATGCGCCTGCGAATCACGACAAGGGCAAGCCTTTGTCCTTCGAAGTAAGTTTCCTCGCCTGCAGCATAATCGAATGTGTGGTAACTGACTGTGATTAGCCCTTGTCGATGCTCACACCGCCCATCAACAACTGTCTCAATAAATCCTCAAACATCCTTACATTCTT